GTCCTCTAGGGCCTCAGGCTGATTTACCAACCTGGCCACTCAGTCCCCAGCACCTGTGACATCCCTCAACCTCACCATTCACACCGCTGGAGCTACAGAGCCAGCTTCTCAGGGACTGAAAAAATGGGCTGTCAACTCCTGGATGGGTCCTTCACCAGGGAAGTAAAAAAGATTTAGCCAAAAACAGAAGAGAAATTCCGTCTTTTGTTCTACCTTTCATTCCCCTTCAGTTACTCAAGTCCACGGACAGCAGCTAAACTCACAGAATTAAGGAGATGCCAACCACAAATATCTTCTTAGGTACACAAGTGTAAGAAAGGTAACTGTTCAATTATCCTTCCACTTATCTTTATGAAGCACTTCTTAAAATGCTAAATACTTTTCTATTTTAAGACATGGGTAATTTTTTTTTTTGACCTTTTCATAGAAGCTGATGGGTTTTACTATCTTTTGTAGCTGATGCTCATAGTAGCTGTGAATACAGGGTTATCCTAAAAATATTGAGGGGAGGGGGGAATGTGTGTTAAGGATTTATTATAGATATTTTAAAATAATACTACCAGAGGTTACTAGGAAAATCTATAAACTTTAGACTTTCATATTCTGAAGCAGTATTTTCCTTTCAAGGTGTGGACCAAAAATATTTAAAGATAATATTTCAGACAAATTCTAATGATAGTACTATACTTGTAAACTCCTGCAAACACAACCAAAATCATTACTGAATTTCTGTGAAAGGTTTTCTGAAAGCAAAAAGTTTTAACCTGATGTTAAAGGTTTCATAAAGGTGCTGATTCATAGCATATATCAATAAACACAACCCTCCAAGACTCAGCAAGCTTGAATAGATACTAAACAAAAAAAGACAAAAAAACCCCAAACTAACCACACACACCTCCACCCATTCCCAACAAAATCCATCAAAACAGTCACAAAACCAGAAAGCCTTCAGCAGACCAGTTTGACAAGGGCTTTCAAAATTACTTTGAATCACTGGCCTTTGCACCTTGCTCTAGCTTTCAGAAATACCAACAGGAATCTGTGCCAAAGGTGTAACTACAAGTATTACAAGGTTTTTTGATATGAGCTTCTTAAATACAGAACAAGATGCACATATTTAACAGCATAACTCCACAGTACTTGGAGTAATGTTTCCAAATTACTCAGTAGCTGGTGCAAACACTTTCAGTAAACCAGTGTTGTTATTCTGCTCATTCTGGACAAAGAGGTACTAAAGCTCTGGGTACCAGCACTGACAGCTCTAACACCCCATATTCAAGCCCTCCAAGCTTGGCTGTCACACAGTCCAAACACAGACAGCTCCCCATTCATGGGGAAATGCAGAAACCATCCTCACTCCGTGACCCAGGGGCCATTTCTGAGGTGCAGAGGGACACCTGCACATTGGTCACAGGTAAGGGAGGCTCTGGCCTCGTGATGAGAGAGGGAGCCTGAAGCCTCTTGGATCCACCAGGCAACTCTGAACTCAACTCTCAAGATACAGAGGTTTTAAAGATTTGAATTTTAAACCTTGGAAGGTTGCCACCTATTAAGATGGAAAAAAAAAAAAAGAAAGAAGAGAGTACAGAGCTCCCAAGATATCCTTGTGTACCAGGTGCTCAGTAGATACTTTGCAATCACTTCCTGCCATTTAGGACTGCATCATGTCAATCGGTGGAGACAGATGACTCTATCATCATCTGCATGAAGCAGCTATTGCTCTTAGGAAAAAAAAAAAAAACAACTCAGTGCCATATTATTAGCTAAATCTTTAAATAATAAGTACATCAAAGCCATGGGACAAGCACAACAGAAGCACACACAAGCTAGCACAATTTTCACCTTTTTACCCCAAAAAACAGCAGGAGAGAAGAATTTAGTATCAGACCTTGCTTTAAGCCAGGCATTATTTCAAGTGGTAAATATCCTTAAAAGTTTGTGCTTCTTTTAGAAAAAGAAAAATGAGCTGAGCTGACATAGCTCTATTCTACTATTATTCTACTATTCCTGAGATTACACTGCCAATGCACTGCTGAATCACAGGTCTGAAATAACAGTGGGTGTGGGAAAGCAAAGGACAGATAAAACAGCCTTTAAATCCATGTATCAACCAAATGTCAGGCTCTCTCCAGAAGCAGTAGAACTTGATAACACACATTGCTGAGAGGCCAGCTAAGTGCCACCAATTAAAACCCAGCTTCTTCCATCTGCCATTCCAAGATGACCATCACAGAAATTATCAGAGCTGAGACAATGCTGAAACACATTTAACCTCCTCACATCACAACTTCCAGCTAGCAGGAAAATCACCATTCACCCAGCCCCTGAACTCGCTGTGTAGGGGACACTGGGCAAGGGAAGGGTCTGCACAGCACATGGGGCAGCCTGGGAAGATGATCTTCCAGGAGGAAAATTGAGGTACACAGGCATCAGCCACGTAGGGCTGCCTGGAGTACGGGAAATCCTGCAACACTCGTGCCTTATTTCCTCAGCAGCAAAATGCCTGACCAAAAAAAAAAAAAAGGATTGGACAGGACAGAAGTACAGATTGGACAAAACAAGAAGCTACTTTTTTTTTAAATTCTCTCATTGTTTACCTTTATTCACATGCTTTAGTCTTACTGTAAACATTACCTATAACCTTCAGACACTGAACAATGTCAGAGAAGCACACAAGGGCCATGAGAAACAAGAATAATCTGATTAATTACTTGCTTCAGGACATAATTTACAAGTTTTAACTAAGGGTCAAGATGACCAGTAGAGATGAAAGAAAAAAACTTCTTTTGACCTGACGCAGCTGCTTTAACTACACAATAAACTAAAGATAGCTTCAGTGGGAAGCAGGCTGTTTGTAGTTAGAGCATTTATTAATACAAACCTACATCTCCAAGTGCTGCTGAAGTTTGACACACACTTCCTGTATGACAGTAAGAAAACATCTGACGAACAATGTTGGGAACCACAGCTCCGAATAAGGTATGCTGATGACTCAGGCATCCCTTGTAAACCCAATATATTTCTGCTTGTATGTGGTTTCTTCACACTAACAGAAAACAATTGTAACAAACTTTGAGGTCTGCAGAACAAACTCCCTTATTTGTGGACATTGGGTTTTCCCTCTTTCAAGGGAAAACAGTGAGTTATTGCTGTGGTAGCCTCTCCACCTTTCATCCATCCATCAGCCCACTGCACCTTCACCATTTGCCTTCCTACATGCAAATACCTGACCAATGTTAAAGTCTGTCATCGAATTAGCTAGTCATTCTCACTAAAAATTAGATACTCACTTTGGAGCCAAATAAAGCTTTTTTACAAAGTACTTTTAAGATTTGCCTTTCCCTCATTCCCTAAATGCATGCAATTAGGGATAAAACAGGTTAAAAGCAATTGCAGATAATAAAATAATCAGATGATTCAACATCAATAATAATAAAATATCCTTGCCATGAAAAACCTTGATACTTTATTCAGTTTCCCTAGACACTTAAAAAAGTGACCAACACCCACAGATGCTGATTACAACTTTAGAATTATTGCTAGCTGTATTTTTTACTGCAGCGTGGATTACCTGGCATATACCACAATCAATCTTCAACCTCCTTTTGGGCTTATCCTCAATTTCAAACTCAAGTGAATCTGAACTACTGACCCACAAGCAGTAGTTTAGCTGAAAACTAAGGATCCTTCTAGTTTAGCTGAAAACCAACATTACTCCTTCAGGATTATTGTCAGAAAGCACAAATAGGCAGCAGCACTGATCAGGGTCCAGAAGGCACTATGTATCTGACGTGATAATTACGATATATTAACTAAACCACTGACAAGACGTTTTGCAAAAGATAAACTTGCTCACAGAAGTTGTCAGATGCACAGCAGCAATATCAGTTTTCAAACACAGCAGGCACATGTAGCAGCAAAGCTGCTACATTAACCTGCGAGCACGCCCCAACTGAAAACAATGAGAGAGGAACAGAGTCAGCCCTTGCCTTCCTGCTGAAGCCGCCAAAATCACTGCTAACTACTTCCAACTATGAGAGCAGTCCTCGGCCAGACACGCCCTTCCTCCAAAAAAGCTTCTTAAATGCGAGCTGTACCACTTTAACCAATTATACCCTAATCAGCACATTCCCACTGTCCACTCTTAGGGCTGCAGCCATTTAACTTCCACACCGACTATACCAAAGCACATACACCTTTATCCTCTTGTGAAGGCAGTACATGCCATTAAAACACTAATAAAAATCAGGAAAGAGGCAACAGTCATACCACTAACCACAAGAGTTGCGTTAACCTACAAATTACCTTTAAAACATATTATTTTAAAAGCGTTGCAATTTAATTTTAGACATTTCTCTTGACGGTTCAGTACAAGCAAATGAAAGCTTTAGAAGGTATGCTTTTTTTTTCTTCTTCTTTTGACAGAGAAACATTCTCCGCCGAGTCCTTCGCACAGTAAAAGACTGGGAAGCGCCGTCATTCCCTTAACCCCGTTCCATGATGCACGTTAACACGAGTCCCCAAACCCGGCACTTTTTCACTCCAGCAGGAGCGCGTCACTCGCTGGAAATAGCGTTCACCTTTGGCAGGCGCGGATGCCGGCGCTGCAGGGTCACGCCGGGCATGTGCAGCATCTCCCCCGGGCCCACGGGGGGCTCGGCCGGCACCCCGCGCTCTCCCTGCCCAGCCCCGCTCCCGCCGCTCTGCCCGGCACCCTGCGAGCGCAACAGGCCCGCCCGGGGCCGCGGGCAGCGCGCCGGGGCTCCCTCGAGGGCAGCGCCGAGCCCAGGGCCGGCATGACCCGGGGCCGGGCCGGCAGCGGCCCCCGCTGCGGCTCCGCGGCCGCCGGAGCGGCGGGGCCCAGGCGAGGCCGCGGCACGGGGAAGGCCCGGGAGAAGCTCAGCACGGGCAGGAACGGCGGGAGCCGGAGCGGGCGCGGCCAGGCCCGGGCGCGGCGGGGACGCGGAGCCGCTCCAGGCCGGGCCCCGCCGGAGACTCACCTTGGCGGCGCCGCCGGGCTGCAGCACGTTCTGCTCCACCGTCATGGCCCCCGCGCGGCTCCCGGCGGCGCCCCGGGCTCGGCGGGTGGCGGCGGCGCCGTACGGCGGCAGCTGGGCCGGGCCCGGGCTGGGCGAGCGGGGCGGGAGGCGGGGCGGGAGGGGGAGCCCGAGTCACCGCCCGGCGGGGGGGGGCAGCGCAGCCCCGCTCCGGCCCCGCCGCCACTCCCGGAGCGCCGAGCGCCGCCCTCGGCCCGGCTGCGGCTCCCGGCGGCGCCGCCCCGCGCACCTGCCCCGGGAGCAGCCCCCGCCCGGCCCCTTCCCCGCCCTGTCACACCGCCCGCCTCCATCTTGGGAGCGCCCGGCAGCCGCGGGGCTCGGCGGGGCCGTCTCCCTCCTCCCTCAGGAAGGGCTCCGCGTCCTTCGCCCGCTGCAGGGGCGGCCCCACCGCGTCCTTGCACGGGGAAGGCAAAGTTTGCCTCGCTGCGGGGGAAGGAAGCGAGAGCAGCTCGGACCGGTGCCGCTTTCCAGGGGATCGCCAGGGAATTTTTGCTTCCAGCGCTGTCACTGCTCGTAGCGACAACAAACCGTATCGCCAAATGAATTACAGAATCACAGGATGGTTCGGGTTGAAAGGGACCTCTGGAGATCACCTGCCCCAATCCCCCTGCCAAGGCAGGGTCACCCAGAGCAGGTGGCGCAGGAACGTGTCCAAGTGGGTTTGGAATGTCTCCAGAGAAGGATACTCCACACCTTCCTGGGCAGCTGCTCCAGTGCTCTGCCATCCTCAACAGAAAAAAAAAAAAGTTCTTCCTCGTGTTCATGTGGCACTTCTTGTGTTTTAGTTTATGGCCATTTCTCCTTGTCCTGCTGCTGGGCCCCACTGTTGCCCCACCATCCTCTTGGCACCCACTTTGGAGATCTTTGTATGCATTAATGAGGTCCCCTCTCAGTGTTCTCCAGGCTAACCAGGCCCAGCTCTCCTCATAAGAGATGCTCCAGACCCTGATCACCTTGGTAGCCTTTGCTGGGCCCTCTCCAGGAGCTCCTTGAGGAGCCCAGAACCAGACCCAGTAATGGTGCATCCTAAAGTTGCAGGCCTTCCCTTTCCCTGAGGTTTGACTGAGTGAGCAGTGGGGCAATGGTGTTCAGCATTCAAATTGTACGGGAATGTCACCCACATATGGGGGGAGGTAGCTAGTCTTGGCAGCCCACAGTGAATTTTGGCACCAGAGATAAACAGTATTAGGGAAGAGATTGTCCCTCTGCCACCCTGCTCTGGGGTGTCAAAGAAAGGGCAAGAAAGAACTCTTCTTTGGGCAAAGTGACTCGGCCGGCCAAAACATGTTTGCCCAGAAAGCAGGTGAAGGGCAGCAGAGAAACCCACCCCACATTTTGAATGCCTGCCCAGTGCATGGTACTTGTGTCGCAGTTCCATTTCCAAGGCTGGCGAAGCTTAGTCTGTAGGATAAGCTGCAGAGAGTAACATGGTTCTGAGAGCCCCAAGTAAAAAACATGAGCTGGGAGCCTAATGCAACAAAATGAATTGCAGCTACTGCTTGTCTGTCATACACAGTCTTTATGACTCTGTAATTCAAGGCCCTCCTCTCCCCACAGAGGAGTATGGATCTTTTTTAAACTGAGGTTAACAGGTAATAACATCACTGGAAGATCCTGGACTTTAAGTAAAACAGAAGCACAACTCATGACAATCTGCAACCACTGCTTTATTTCACTGTAGCTTCTGTTCAGGAGATGTTGCAATGTAATCAATATTTGCACTTCTCAGGTTTGTTGCCCAGAGATTGTATCAGTTTTATAGTATTTTTCCTTTTATGTTGCAATATGCAAGGCAATTTTAAAAATTAATGTTCCCAAAGAATTTATTGTGCAAAAGACAAGAAAGTATGCAGATAATATAACGGGATCAGAAATGGCTTGCAAATTACTTTACTGGAGATAGGAGTGGAAATTTTCTCTGCTCAGACTGATGGCTACATGTAAGAAAGGCAACAGTAGCAGCTTGGGGCTCTTCTTAAAAACCTTTTCTGCAGCAGCTGTGTGGGAATGCTGGTCCAATTCCTCTGTCCTCTTCCAATCATGCTTTTTCTTATAAATTTTTACAGCTTCTTCATCGTATTTTTGACATGTGCTATGTTCAGATAACTCTCATCAAAACTATTAATTATTTACATTATTTGAAAATATTATAAACAAATTAGCATTTAAATTAAATACATTTGTCTTGCAATATTTTTTCAAGTGTTTTCACTGTTTCATTTATTAGCTTTTCTGTGTCCAAAAATAAAATGTGTCCAAATAGAAAGAAGAAATCATATGTTTTGTTCAATTCTCTTTAAATCAGGATAAAATGACAAAGTATCACCTCCCATTAAATTCCCCAATAAAATTATCACTTTTAAGGGCTCTGGCTTCCTCACTTTCTTTAATATAAAAAAAGGCTGAGCAATCCAATCCCAAGACAGGGATTTGCCATTGAAATACATCATCTGAACCACAGCCATGCAAATGAGGATTCTGTCATACTTACAGTGTTGCTGGGAATCAGAGGGAGCAGAGTTCCCTGTTCTGTTTGCAGCTCAAGCTCTCTATGAAGTACATTGAGCACAAGGCTGGAATTTGTACCTCATCAGAAAACCCTAAGGATTTTGTCAGGGCCACAGTTAAGGAAGAATATATGTGTATATATATATATATGTGTGTGTGTGTGTGTGTGTGTGCATATTTTCACAGAAGTTTGACATGTTTCCCCTTAGTTGCTCCTCACCTTTTAACAGTATTACAGGGTTTGGCTATTACCAAACATGGCTTGGTTGTTAAACAATTGATGACACATTGCACAACCTCTGCCTCCAGCTGCTTGGTCCCCTGAGCAAGGTTCCCCCTCGTCTGCACCTCCTCCTCCTCACCAGCAGGTCTGGAGATGTGATTCACCTGAAACACAAGCACAGACTCCCCTCCCCCCTAAACCGGTTGTTTTCTTCTGCTAGATCAGTTCCCCAAAATGGTTCAATGACTGGCTGCAGGAACAGCTGTGCTGGCCCAGAAGAGAGGGTGACCCAGGCTCAGCGATGGTACCCATCAAGTTTCATTTCACCTATTTCTCAAATCAGTAAGTGATCGTGCCTTCCTGATCTGCACACTGCCAGCTGGAGGGAAAGCCTGTGCCTGCTCACAGGAATCTTGTTTTCCCATTTTTGCAAAGAGCAGCCAAACATCAGCCAACCACAAAACACTTTAGCACATGTTTTATTGTATACAAAGATCATGTACAACAAGAAATAGCTCATTATTTCCCTCCATTTTCAATAGACTTGGGTTTGTCCTTAATTAAGTGCAACATTTATTTAGGGCTTTAATTAGACTGTGGCTGCATAAGTTACAGCTGGGGAAGTACAAGTCAGGACTTCTTGGTTTTCCTTTCCCAAATGTGTAACTTGCTACACTGGGGATGAGAAAGCACTGCTTTAAAAAGCACAGTGAATGCTGCAAACACGGGCTCTGTAGTTAACCCTGGACAAGAGCTGCCCTGGATTCACATTTACAAACCCCATCTCAGAGCACTTTCACTTAGGCCTTTTGGCTCTGCAGTAAATAGTTCAGCCAACTGACAAAACCACAGCCATTCAAGCAGATTTTATAGCATGACACTTTTGAAATCATCATTTGGCAATTGCTCTCTGTGTCAGTGGTAACCATTCAAGCATTGCTTTGGCACCTGCAAAATCTCCTGGTGGTTATCAACCAAGGCAACCAAAACAAAAACTAACCTAAGTTGTAACTCAGGAAAGAGAGCAATCGTTTTCTGAAAACCTTTTGAAAATCTAAAAGTAAAATTAAAATGAGGTGCACGTAGGTTTTGTTGCTATACAAAACACAACTTCATATTCCATCATTTATTGACCTTAAATTGAAGGTACCTTACCTTCTAATTGCTTCCTGACAGCAGATGTCTGTTCATGTGCCTTCTTAAAGTCAGGTGCTTCAGTCAAAATAAAAATTCTCAGATTTAGTCTCCTGAGTTCATGTAATTGCTGCTGAATTCCACAGAAATTATGGATTTTACAAGAACCTGGTTAAAGTGCTCTTTTTACCATAGCGATTGTCACATTTTATTTACTTTCTTCACCACCCTTGCACATTGATCATATTATTTCACACAGCTTTCCTGAGAGGCCATAACATTTTTTTGTATGTGGCTGAAAATAATTTAGAGCTCAGCAATGACTACTTGTCCTTCCAATAGGCATTACCTATGTTTTTCAAGGAGTAGAAACTTACAGAACTGTTCCCAAGATACTGCTTTCTGTCATTGAAAACATAACTCATTTAAACGAGCGTGTTCCACAACAAATCACTATTTCCACTGAGCTAATTTTAAGCAAAATAATAATTAGTATTCTCCCAATTTGGACTTTACCTAATGATTACTTATAATGTTTATTTTGAAACTATTTCAGCTCAAACATTTATTACTTTTAGCACCATAAGTGTGTAACACTCATATTCAAGGTCTAAACAATTTCTTTTGGATTACAAAGTAATAAAGCCAGTTCTACATTTTTTTTTTTCCCATTCTTACTTTGCATGTATTTTTTCAAGTGGCAAACTCCCTGCTCTTCTCTTCCATTCAACTACTCAGTCATTTCTTGCTTTTTGTTGAAGCAAAAGCTTGTTGATCATGATGACAGCCTATCACAACTCCTGGACAAGATTCCCAAGATTCCCATACATGCAGTCATTGTAAATGCATGCTGCACTCTTCCTTAAACAAATAATGACAGACAATTGTTTTCTTAGACAATGACCTTACATTTGATGGTCTATATGGACAAACAGGGTTATTCTCCATCAGGATCATGTAATCCACACATAAAACTAGGAGTCAAAGCTGGCAGGACTAGCACAAAAGTCCTATGTTTTGCTTCTGTCATTTTGGATGCCCTTCTTTCTAGCCACCCACAATCAAAGATAAAGAAATTAAAGGCCCTGACTGTAGTGCTTAGTTTCACATAGGTTTCAAGTATTGAGTTCTTAGCACCTCAGCTAGTTACCCAAGTTCCCTGTCCTAGGCATGGAATGGCCTT